CCCCAATGCAGACACTGTCCATCAGTGTAGTAAGATGCCACAGATTCACTATTTGCCTTCTTTGTGCTACACTGTTTTTCTCATGACCCCTCACACCATGTGTACTAAACATAATACCCCTCAATCCCCTTCTCCCTCCCTCCCCACTCACCCTCCCACACCCCTCTCTTTTGGTAACTGCTAGTCCCTTCTTGGAGTCTGTGAGTCTGCTGCTGTTTTGTTCCTTCAGTTTTGCTTTTTTGTTATATTCCACAAATGAGGGAAATCATTTGGCACTTGTCTTTCTCTGCCTGGCTTATTTCACTGAGCATAATGTCCTCCAGCTCCATTCATGTTGTTGCAAATGGTAGGATTTGTTTCTGTCTTATAGCTGAATAGTATTCCATTGTGTATATGTACCACATCTTCTTTATCCATTCATCTACTGGACACTTAGATTGCTTCCATTTCTTGGCTATTGTAAATAGTGCTGCGATAAACATAGGGGTGCATATGTCTTTTTGAATCTGAGAACTTGAATTCTTTGGGTAAATTCAAAGGGGTGGGATTCCCAGGTTAAACAGTATTTCTATTTTTAGTTTTTTGAGGAACCTCCATATTGCTTTCCACAATGGTTGAACTAGCTTACATTCCCACCAGCAGTGTAGGAGGGTACCCCTTTCTCCGCATCCTTGCCAGCATTTGTTGTTCTTAGTCTTTTTGATGCTGGCCATCCTTACTGGTACGAGGTGTTATCTCATTGTGGTTTTAGTTTGCATTTCCCTGATGATTAGTGAAGTGGAGCATCTTTTCATGTTTATTGGCCATCTGAATTTCTTCTTTGGAGAACTGTCTCTTCATATCCTCTGCCCAATTTTTAATTGGATTATTTACTTTTTGGGTGTTGAGGTGTGTGAGTTATTACCTTTTTTTCTGTTTATGGCTTTTTTCTTGAGAATAGGTCACTTTTTTCCTGGATCAAGTAAGTTTGAATTGTATTGTGGACATTGTGAGTAGTATGCTGTGAAGACTCTGAATTTTGTTATTTTTCTCTAACAGGTGTTGATTTTTTTGTTTGTTTCAGCAGATATCTAATGTGATTCACCTTAAACTATAAAGTAAAACTTGGGCGGCACCTTACATCTGAGTTTATTTCTTTTGTCCCTGGCTGGATTGTTGATGTTTGCACACAACCCTGCACATACATTGTTCAGAGATCAGCTAGAGATTTGGATATTAACCTCTTGTCGGATATGTCATTTACAAATATATTCTCCCATACTGTAGGATGCCTTTTTGTTCTATTGATGGTGTCCTTTGCTGTACTGAAGCTTTTTAGTTTGATGTAGTTCCATGTGTTCATTTTTGCTTTTGTTTCCCTTGCTTGAGGAGATGTCTTCAGGAAGAAGTTGCTTATGTCTATATTCAGATTTTTGCCTATGTTGTCCTCTAAGAGTTTTATGGTTTCATGACTTACATTCAAGTCTTTGATCCATTTTGAGTTTTCTTTTGTGTATGGGGTCCAACCTCTTTTCAACGTTTTCTATGCAACATCATTTTCCCTGGTTTACTATTTTTTCTTTTATCTAAATATCAGTACTTAATGTACTATATATTTTACTAAGATTTTGCTTGTCTCTTGTTTTTTATCTTCCCCACTAGAAAATGAGCTCCAGGAAGGCAGAGGCTTGTGTCTTCTTTATTCGCTACAATATTCCCAGGGCCCAGGACAGTGTTTGTATTAAAATAAGTATTCAGTAAGTATTTACTGAATGAATAAATGAGCGGCATAAAGATTGGGTTTGATTAACCACAAATTTAGATACATGATACATTTTGTGAGGGCTTCTAGTGAATCTAAAATGTTTTATTTCTAAAAAGCAAGTTATATAATGCAAATGAGACAAACTATTAAAATCTGATGGTATTGGGTAGTGGCAAAATTAGTGTTTCTGATATTATTTTTTGTCTTTATGTTGAAAACACTTCATTAAACAAAAGAAACACCAAAAAGTTTGGGGAGGATTGTTCAGACTATTGTAGCATAGAATTTAAGGGAAGAGGGAGTTTTAAAAATGAATAGGGAGATATTTGAAAGGCTGGAATTAGTCACCAGGTGATAAGATAATTATAATTGGGTATAAGGAAATTTTTAGTGAATACTGAAAGAAACTGTTTTAGCAAGGAGTTGATAATAGGTGGGATACTGAGGAAATGGAGGCAGTAGGTGGAGAAATGTCGATCAGTTATCAGTATGATGACAGGTACAGAATTCCCAGGATCGAAAATTTATTCATGTTTGTGAGCAGAATGGAACAACCCATTGAAAAGATAGACTCAAGATGCTGAAAAGAGAGAAGACAATTAATGGGAACATTTATACTTAGAGGCACAGATTAAGAAGAAAGGGCATTTCAATTGGCAGTATTGAGAGGCGCTATTTCTGCTATAGAAGAAAAGAAAGAAATATTGACACAGATTAATGGGGACAAAGAGAAGGGAAGGTGAGGGAATTCATATTTCTTTGAAGTAGTAAGTCAGGCCATCTGTTAGGATGGAGAAACTGAATAATGGATACGATCCAGGTTAGTGAATTAGGCCACTGGACATGTTAGAAGGTTGAAGTTGTAAGAGGTTAAGTTGATAATTAGGGTATGAATTATATGGATGATTTCAGGCTTTGAAGGATTTGGAACAGTGGGAACTAACAATGAAATGGGTGCATTTGAGTGGGTTGAACAGTAATGCTAACAAAAACAGACACATGTGTCAGGGATTATTCTAGATTTTCATATGTCATTTAAAATGTACCAGGGATTGTTCTAGATTCTTTACGTATACTTATTTAATCCTGACAACAGCCTTTGAGGTAGCTATGTCATTATGAAGATTTTGCAAGTGAGGAAATGGAGATATAAGAGAAGTAACTTGCTCAAGGTTACGCAGAGAATTCAAACCCAGGCTTTCTAACTCCTGAGTCCATACGCCTTAACATATTATACTCTCGATGGGGTGGTAGGAAGGAGGTTTAGTTGCTGAAGAACAGCGGGATTGGCAAGCTGGCCAGGGGAGAGTAGTTTTCCAACACATACTTTGATACTTTGTTTCTGGATTATCCAAGACACCACTTAATTTTTTTTTCTGATTATTATTTTCCTCTTCAAAGCCTCAAGATTCCCAGAAATTTCTGAATAAATCACTGAGCTTTCTTTTAATCACACAAAAGTTTGTTATCTCAGAGATTTATCTTCATACTTTCTTTTAGAATGATTCCAACTTATTTTCACCCAGAATTAACTTTTCAGCATCAATCTTTACATGATCATTTATCTTTGACTGAGGAATGGAAATTTTCTTTGAGATATGTTTTTGGTAATGAACAATAGCATAGGGTGATCAGCCTGATGAGCCAGACCCACCTGTCAATCAGGGAAGTGACGTAGTGCAGCCCTGTGTATGTCCTAAAGAGCCAAATCACTAAAGTTTTATGAATATTTTTGCCAATACCATTAAGCTTTGCCACTATGTGTATTTTAATGGGCAGCTTTCTTGTGGTTTATAGACTTTTTTTGGTCGACGCAGGACCTCTTTTCTTTATATTTGTTCACATTTTTTTCTTCATTGTTGAAGATTTGAGTTTTCTGTACACATCATATACAACATTCTTTTCCCTAAAATAAGGAGTGTTCTTTTTTAGTGAGATGGAAAAACACTAATTTAGTCATGACAGTAATCAGCATTAAAAATAATTGGTCAATTCTTACCGTTCTGTTTATATAGCTTTTGAGAAATCAACTTACTTTGATCATAGCTCCTCAGTTTATACAAGCTATTTAAATTATTTGAAATAAGAATGTTCATAACGTTGTCAATTATACAGTGCTTTAATTTTCACATCCATTATATTTATCTGATCTGCCCAATAACTCTTAGATGATGTGGCAGGTTTTATTGTTCCCATTTTACAGATGCTGAACTTGAGGCTTAGGGAGATTAAAAGATTGGTCCTAGAATGAATAAGTGGTAGAACTCAGTCTTAAATCTGTTTCTTCCTGACTCCAGATCCAGGCTCAGAATGTCTCCTCACTCTGATTCTTTAAGTATCTTCGTATTAATATACATTATGCCCTTTTCCATAGCCGCTTTTTTCTATTGGCTTCATTTGGTTTCCCAGCAGAGGGGCTTCCCTAACGTACCTGTCTCCATCCTGGGTGGTTGCAAGGGCGCACACCTGGGTTCCTCCTGTCTCCAGTCTTTAATTTTCCTTTTCTGTGGCCCTGCCGGCATCACCATCCATGGAAATCTCTTCCTATCCTAGCCTCAACTTCCCAAGTCTTCTCCCAGCCCCCTGATAGTGGGACCTCCCATCCTAATCGGCAGCAGGACAGCCCATCAGAGAGGGTGGGGGCAGAGGGTACGGACCGCAGAGCGCAGGGAAGCCATGCTGAGGGTTACTTCTGCATTTCCTTCCTCGCGGTCCCCAGGAGCATCCTCGCCGCCCTCCGGCCCCGGCTCTCTCGAGCCCGCCCCGGATCCGCCTCCCTCTCCTTCCTCCGCGTGGTTGAGACGAAGCGTGGGACGCACCTGTCCTCTCGGGTCACCCCGTTGAGGCACCGGGAGCGGGACTTACCGGCCTGGAGAACGCCAATGGGAGATCCAAATGGTCGGGGACTCCGGCACTTTAAGAGGCTTTTCTCTGGGAAACACCCGTCCCCTCCGTGCGCCTTATGAATGGAAATACTCCTCCCCCGGTCGAGCCCATTTTCCCATTTCACCAGGAGCCGCAGCTTGCTCTCTCCTTTCGGTCTCCCCGCCCACATCAACGCGGGCAGCTCCAGGAGGGGACGGACAGGAAGCCTTTGGCCGCCTATTAAATCCCACCCATTTCTCCGGGGGCGATTTCCTAACCTTCCGGGACCGAATTCTGCAATTTGATGTGCGTTTTGTCCGAATGGTAGCGACACGGGCCTAAGGGAGGGGGAAAGCGAGGGGGTGGGGGGTGGGGGGTATGCGCTCTTTTCCTCGCAACATCGCTGGCGGAGCGAGGGAGCTCACACGACACAGATTTTGGGGCAAAGCCTTTCCATCTGGACAGCACCATGTCCACCAAAGCGGAGCAGTGTAAGTAGCAGCCGGCCCGGCGTTCCGGCCCGGCCTCCGGCTGGGAGCTATTGCAGTTGCGGCGTTTGCGGCTGCCGGGAGACCTTGGCATCGTGCTGGTGCGGGGGTGGGGGCTGAGGTTGGGGCGGGTGGGGGTGCGGGGTGGAAGAGAAGGTGGGGGAGGGTGGGCGTTAATGGCAACGCGGCGCTGTCCCCGGTGCTGAAAAATAATGCGGTCTTCCTCGGGCATGTGGTGGGATTTCGCAAGACTGAAAGACCCTGCGAAATGAAATTTAAATGGGGTCATCCTCGGGAAAAAGAGGCCTCGTATCTTTCAGATAAACATTTCAGTGTCTCTTGTTGGAATGGGGGAAGGGGGGCAGCGGCAAATCAGGGGCGGGGAACTGTCAATGCAACCAAAGCCTGCCTGGCCTGGTGAGCATGCCCAGTTCTCGGTGCTGGAGCCATAGGGGAGTTTGAGTCCGCAGTTTCTACTTAGGGTTGGAGAGGCGAGAAGGGAGAGGAGGGGGAGGGAGCTGGGAGCTAGGTAGGATTCTGGATGCAGTGTGAGAAAAATCAGTTTGGGAATACCAACACTAATGCTAAAACTAACCGCAGCTCTGGGTTAAAGCGAGAGTTGCCGCTTGCAAGAAACTGAAGAAGGCTCTGGGAAAATGATCTAATTGATTTAATTGATTTTCTAAAGAGGTTTTCTTTGTAGGGCAGCTCCCACAGACTATTAACAAATAGTCGGAGGATTTTAGATGTCCCAGTAATGACTGACAGCGTGTTTGGTGGGAAACAACCTGCTAACTCCTTGTGGACAGAGGAAGTTTGTAATTTGCTCTCTCTAGGCTCTCTTATTTGCAGTGCGCATTAGTAGGCCTTCCTTATGTACTTGGTACGTTGATGAATGCGAAACCTTTCCCCGAGTGCATTTGAGAGATTCAGGAACTTAAACTTCTGCTTGTAAATAAATGATGTTTTCATTAAGCACTGAGTTTGAATTTTTAGCAAACATATCAGAACTAACGCACCTAATGACTCTTTTGTTTCTTTTTAAACAGTACACAGTTATGTTGATAATGCTACTTAAAAGTCTTTGTAATTCTTTGGAATGGTTTTATTAAAGCCATTTTGTGAGGAAAACCAAAATAGTAGTCTTGTTATTTTGGAGCATATTTTGTATGTGAAAACTTGCAGAATGTCACTTATTTGCTAGATAGAGTAAATGAACTGACTCAGAATTCTCAGACTGAAGGTTCATTAGAGATGTCTGGGGCCACCTACCATTCAGTACGCGTACCTCTTCATCATTTTTTAAAAAAGTCTAGAACACCTGGGTTTGAATCCTAATTCTGCCATTTACGTGGTCAAGGTTTACTCTGATTGACCTTGGGCAAGATAACTGAGTTCTCTGAACTTTATTTCCTCATCTGTAAACCTAGGGTAATAATGCTGATAGGGTTGTTGTAATTATAAATGGGAGAATACACACACAAAAGGTTCAGTAGTGAGCCTAGCACATAGTAAGTACTGAGTAAATGATGGTATGATATTGACAGTTATTTCCCACTTCACAGTCCATCTCTTCTAAATAGGAAGTTCTTTTGTGATATTTTTGCCTGTTTTCAGAAGTTAAATCTAAACCTCAAAGATTAATTTTACTTCTATAGTGGGTTTTGAAAAATTAAATGCAATATATTTTAGGTAAAGGTAACATAATTGGAATCAGTATAGAACTTCCCACTTGAGGATATCACACCCTTGAAGGTGTTATTATAATATTATTGTTAAAAAAACCCCCACCACCTGTCATTTGATTTTATAGTTACGTATTACATAAGTAATTGCAGGTTAAAGTCTGTTAGTGTTATTGTCCTCTTCCTGTGTTTTCCCTTCCTTGTTATATTTTGAGAAGCACTGGATGCTTTGTCTTGTCTCTTCTTGGGCAGTTCATGTCAAGATGAATAAAATCCACATGTGGACTTGGTTGTACAGTGCAAGTAGTGGGTAGTTAAGGAGCTATTTTAGAATTGTTTGTAAGCAATTCTATAAGTCTAAAAAAGTCTAAAACAGACTTTTTTCCTCCATCTGCAGACCATGGAAAGGACACTATATTTGAAGCTAGAACATGTAGATTTGAGTTTTGCTTGCTCTTCTGATAAACTGTGAGACACTGGGCAATTAACTTAATAGTTTTGTGCCTCAGAGTTTCCATCTATGAAGTCAGGAATAGTAATAGCAGCTATCTTTGTTTAGTCCTAAGCATTTTGGAGGGCAAAGGAGGTAAACGGAAGGTGGAAAGGATAAGGATGCTTTGGGTGTTTTGGGGTGTCTTTATTTAGAGTGAAGGGAAGTTAAGAATCTCTTTTCTTTCTCTCTTATATGCACTAACATGAATGAGTTGACATTCTAGGGCATGTTGTATGCCTGAAAATAGTGAACACACGAAATGTTGCATAGTTAATGTTCAGGAAGGGTGAATACTTTTTAATCAAGAGAAGTTGCAGATCTGTCTTATTTTACCCTTGGACTTGGTAGGAGAATGGCTAGAGGGAAGGAGAAGGAGAAGAGGCGGCCATGAGATTTTCTCTTCTACTGGATGTGAAGACCACCAGAATGACAGAGAACAAGAGTTCATGTGTACTCTGCATGCAGGAGTTTGTACAGTACCACTTACTTAAGGACCCAAGGGGAGAATTAGGTTTAATATAATGTCAAAATATTATTTCTATCATTATTCTTCCTGAGGGGTCTTGATGTAGTTAAGGTTTCACTGGTACAGGAAGTGTACATAGTTTGGTTGAACCAGCAAGAGGAAGTACTTGTATTTCGACCCAAACATTACATGTCTTACCTTTGAAATGACATGTATGGCAGGTATGTGAGAAATGATTATATTTTTAGGTAGTGATATTTTCCTTAATGAAATAAGTAATAATGATGAAAAAGAGACTAGTTTTAGCTAAGATATGGTTTGGAGCCTGTTTTTATATATTTAGTCTATTTCCTGCACGATATGCAGGACATCATAACAGAAGGTGAAAGCTTCCTAGCAATTTCTCAGGCGATTGCAAAAGAGTTAAGTTTTTTTCTTCCTCCAAATGCTTTTTTTTCTTACAGTCGAAGTTCACTTTAGTGAAAATGTTTATGCACCTGATATAGAATCTGGAATGAAAAATAACAATTTATAGTTCTTTTATTTGGGATTCTAATGAGGAGTCCAATTCTCCTGCCTCCTCTCCACCCCCAGCTTTCTTTGTCTTCTAAGGGTTAAAACTGACGAATCTGGAGTTCTTTGGGTGTGCTCTTTCAAAAGAAGCTTGCTTTTATAGCAACAGAAATTAAGAATTGGGATTTTAAAATCAGATTACTGCCTGGGTATGAATCCTGATTCTGCTTCCTGAAATCTCTGTGACCTTGGACAAGTTAACTCAACCTCTCTAAGCCTCAACTGCATTATATGTAAGATGGGGATAGTCATAGTTGTTGTGAAGATTAAATAAGGTGATCTTTGAAAAGCTTTGCACAGAGTCCTGGCACATAATAAGCAGTTAGTAAATGTTGGCTATTAGTATCATCATCATCAAGTGTAAAATCTGTGGTTGCTACTAAAATGAAGATAATTATAAATTTGGATCTAACCCCATAAGAGTGTAGCAGAAAAAAAAGTAATCATGATATTATTTAAATAGAACAATGAGCTATTGGACTATTTTTTATTCCCTTTTTCTCCAGGTCTCTTCTTCAGCAGTCAGCCTAAGCTATTTTGGGTGGGAGGGGATTTCTGCATGGCAATTCCTTGACTTGGTATATCTAGCAAGGCACTGGGTAATCGCCAAACAGAACATTTCTAAGGCATGAATTGCCTATCCATCACCTTTTGTAATTTGGTGACAGTGTAGCAGCTGGTAAACATAAATCACTTATATAAATATCCATCAAAATGTTTGTTGAATTTGGAGATTAACCCGCTGACATAAGCTCAAAATAGCTAATGATAGAAATGTGAATGTATGCTATTTTTAATGTACTTATCCTATTTAACATCTCAGTAACTAAAAATCTTTCTTGATTACATCAAAAACAAACACTTTTAAGAGTATAGGTATTTGCATTATGATTTGAAGTTGAATTCGCCTCTTTCCTATGCACATTTAAGGGCATGCTTGGAGAAATCAATAGATAGTTTTTAAAATAAATTTTTGTGTACATTATATGGTAGTATTACTAAAATAGAAAAGTACTTTTAAAAATAGCACTTCCACCTATAGTCCTTTAGAAATCTTTGCACAACATTGCTAATTTCTTACAGAGGAGGCTCTAGTTTTATTCATTTATGTGAATATTAGAGTATGGCTATTGACCTTATTTGTGGTAGCAAAAAGAGCAGATGCTTTTTCATTCTTGTCTTACATGATTTCTCTGCTTCATTTGACACTAGTTTTCACATTCCTTATTTAAACTCTCCTTTTCTTCTTCTTTTCTGGTTGTTCCTACTCAGATTTTTTCCTTATTGGTATATTCTTCCAACTGTCCTTTAAAAATAGGATTCTGTCATTAGTTCTTTTTTTTTTTTAAATCCCATAAACTCTTCATCTCATTCACTGTCATGTCATCAGTTACCACTCTATGTGGATGATACCCTCCAAACATGTCTCTTGAATTACAAGCCTGTCTTCATCCAGGCATCCTATAAGCATCTCAAACCCAAATCCATTGTCTTCTGTCCCAAACTTGTACTTCTTTTTTATATTACTCATTTCAACGAATTATACCACCATCTACCCATTCATCCAAGTCAAAAAACTGGGAGTTTTCTTAAACTTCTTCTACTTGCTATAATTCTATTCAACAAATCAACAAGCCCTATTGATTCTTACCCGTGCAACTAAATTGCTGTCCAAACTCCTTGACCTAGTTACGTGGGATTATTTTTTTCATTTCCTCCGATGCACTATGTTCTTTTTGCTTGAAATGCCTTCTTTGCCTCTGTGGCCCTCTTCTTTGCCTTTCTA